GAGGGGGGGGGGAAGAGACGCACTTGTCCCGTTGATGAGACGTAGGTCGCGCGGGGTAGAATAACACTGTGTGGATCATTCGTGTGTGAGAGTGTGATGTTAATTGCCTGTGGGTTTGCTGTGAATACGATGTATAGATGCATGCATAATACAGTCTTGGTCAAAATCTAAAGAACACCTGATACCTTTTACATTTTTATCAATAAAATGAACATAATATCGTTCATTTATATGAAAATAGTTGCTTTAATGTTTCAAATATGTTTTATGGTAAGCTGTTGTAGAATAGGTTTGATCAAATCAGCACCTTGTGAGTCCTCCTTTTGCATTGATGACCGCTTGAAGAGGACACGGTGTGCTAGCATGTTTGATATGCGGATTCAGCACTATTATTATTGTGGAGTTTTACGGCTTAACCCTATCCGTTCGTCAAAATGATTTTTTAAGAAACACTGAAAGTTTCAAAGATATCTTTGCGCTAGAAGTATTCTAAAATGTGAAGAATACAGCCCTGGGGGTACAAAATTACCCCAGAGCGTACGCTAGACGGCTGTTTGTTTGGGAACTTGCTTTTCATGAAATCTTAGACATTTTCCGCAGAATTGATTTCAGGGCTATTTTCAGGCCATTCCAAGGCCGTGACCTTGACCTTTTAAAGGTATTCTTGCACAGTACATGTATTTGCTTTGTGGCATGGAGCGCCATCGTGCATGGAAATTTTGCACACATAAATGTATCTGTGTATTTCCAATTTGCCTTGCAACAGGTCCACCGAGTGCCGTTGTCCATTCGCCATTCAGAGTCGTTCCTGCCTCCAAAAATATATATAATCCTGCAGTTCAAGAATTTGACATTAGCCCGTAATCATTGCACTTGGTGGGTGTTTCAATGCATATTTTGCGCCGTATCTTTTCCCAGGTGGCCTCATCATTGCCTTTCTCACCCTGGATCAGGATATAGGCCACTAACAAACTCTCTCCACCTTTCCTATCATTGGCTAATCGCTCGATGTCATTCCACGTCGTCCCACTTTTGTGTGCATCCATTTCCGTCGGTGGCCTAGTGGTTAGGCTCTCGGACTCGCAACCGTAAGGTCGTGGGTTCGAATCCCGTCAAGGGCCCGA